TCCTTCCTTCCTTCCTTCCTTCCTTCCTTCCTTCCTTCCTTCCTTCCTTCCTTCCAGTTGAAAAAACAAAAGATATTCTGGATACCAGCCCTCCACTTCTGGCTGTTCCTGACCCTTTCATTCCTCTTCCACTGTCAGATACACCAGGTAACTATGATTTATGTGATCAAGGTGACATAGCAATTATGCCCATTAAAATGTGATGCCACTCAGCAAGGGGGTAAAAGTAACAGAGCCCTCTTGGTGGCATAGTTTTGGAAAAGCATTCTTCTCAAAGTTCATCCTGTTTGCCGGTCAATAGAGACTAGACGTTCTGTTTTTAATTTTATCAATTTCTTTCTATATAATCTGTTTGCATGACCATCTTCCATCTATGTTTGACACTGATAAGATTTAGGGTTGTTTAAATAGTATTGTCATATTTTAAGATAGGCTACTTTATTATCCATAACATTTTTTATTTATTATTTACTTATTTAAAACATTTATATAGTCACCCGTCTTACCTAGAACCCTGGGCAGTTCCCAATGAAAAATTAAAATAATATTCAATGATAAAACAACACAACATCATATTAAATCCCTTCGCCCTATGCCGTGCTGTGCCTTCACTGCTTTTTGGAAAGCTAAGAGGGCAGAGCCCTGCCAGTCACCCAAGGCAAGAGCATTTCGTAGGGCAGGTACTTTCACAAAAAGGCAGGTGTCTTAGATCCTGTGCAGTGGCAAAACTTAAGGGAAGGGATTAGGAGCATCATATCCAAAGGTCTTGGGGAAAGCAATGGTAGGTTAATCTCCAGGCCTATTTAAATACCAGCCTATTATTTATTTTATTTATTGTATGGCACATTCACATCAGATTTCAGTAAAAGGGAACACGGGGTAAAATACAAAACAGTGAATATACAATCTGAAATCTTAACGGGCAGATTGCAAGTTGCAAATTAAATTTTTTACTTCATTTGTCACCGCCAGGAGATTAGTGAAATCTCCATTATAGGCTCTATTTTAACTGTCATTATGTATGTTGGGTAGTTTGTTTTTTGGCCCCACAATCACAATTTGGTGATGCTATTTTGTCCCACTTATTGAAGGCATTGACACATCTACCACGGCTAGTGTGAATTCGATTCAGAGTTGTCCCTCTCACAGGGGGGCTGGTCAGACCCAGGTTTTTGTTCTGGATTATCAAAATAAGAAGCAGTTTCAGTGTTTCTTGAAGATGCCCAAAGTGGGAAGGGGGAAGATGTGTACTTGTGCAGTCATGATCAGCTTTTTCAGTCCTAAAAGTTAATGCCCAAAGGTTTTTTAGAGGCGTTTTTGTGAATGTTTAGCTGAATTTTGAGAGGCCCTTGGTACTCTTTTTGCAAATTGTGGATACCTTTTACATCTCAATACTGGTGGCTGGTTGAAGGGCCTGTTTAAAATTTGCACCAGGCACATCTCCTGAGATCTTGGAGACCACTGAGGAACATTTTCAAAGCTTTTGTGTCTCCATGAGTAGACTCGCTGCTGTCTGCCCAAGACTGGCAAAATTGGGGATCTCAGCTCTCCCAAATATGTGATTTTATTGGATTCTGATGAGATCGTTCCTCCTCTCCAGCTGAAGTCCAAAGAAAAGGACTCTGCTGCAGTGTGTGTGTTTGCTGGGTTAGCTGCCCTTGGGTTGTTTTTTTTTTTAATCTTCCGTAGTTGCAGAATGAGTAATCTAGTTTGAAGTGTGGGTTTTTATGCAAAGTTTTTTGGTGCGCCTTGTTTCTAAATGAACCAAATAGCTGAAGAGCTGCTGAATGAATTGCATCTTGACATAGTCTCTCTCTCTCTCTCTCTCCCAATTTCTCTCTGTCTCTGTGTATCTCTCTCTCTCTCTCTCTCTCTTTTCCTCTTTTCTCTCCCCCCCTCTTTCTCCCTTCTCTGAGCATTTATGTTTATGGATTGTTTACGTACTTTAATCTTTTGCTAGGGCATGTTGATAGCACAGAGTAGCTATAAAACAGGGGAGCTGCAGTTGTGAGAGTGATATTTCAACAGCCTGTCAGATGCTTTTCTAACAGCACAAAAATACTGAAATCAACCCTCCTTCCCCTGCTTTGAAGTGTTGGGTGAAGGCATTGGTGGCCACTACAGATGAGCGGGCCGGGAACTCCGTGCGCACGCTCACTTGGCTTTATTTTGGCTGTACCTTTGATCTGTTCAGCTGGTAGAAGTGGGCAAAGCACTCGGGGATTATGTTCCCGCTTCCCGCTGAGCCCCCTTGGCTCCTGCGACCTTACATAACAGGAACTAAACGGTTGACACGTAGATACTCCCTAGGCAGGTGAAGTTACCTCTAGGAGCTTGTTGAACAAGTACAGCTAGGAAGGTACATTCTTCCTACAGTCACCTATTCTTCAAAGCACCTGAAGGCAAGATAAGAAGCAATGGGGGGAAGCTACTCAAGGAGAGAAGCAACTTAGACCTAAGGAGAAACTTCCTAGTAGTGGGAACAATTAATCAGTGGAATGGCTTGCTTCCTGAAGTTGTAAATGCTCCAACACTGGAGATTTTAAAGAAGAGATTGGACAGTCATTTGTCTGAAATGGTTGTAGGGTCTCCTGCTTAAGCCGAGGGTTGGATTGCAAGACCTCCAAGATCCCTTCCATCAATCCCTTCTGTGTTATTCTGTTATATTTCCAAATATGAAAATTAACTTAATGCTCAGACCGCGGTTATGTAGATGGGGGGCCTAGGATGGAATGCCGTAACGACACAGCAGGTTTATTTGACTCTCTGGTTTGTTGAATTACTAGAAACCTCTTAAGTGCAATAAGGAAATTCCAAGCCAGAGACCTTCCACCTGATTCATGGGAAACCAGTTTTTCATCCGTTCTGGCATGACCGACCCCCTCTTCCCGAGGGCAGGCTGAAGACGTCAATCTCAGCCATGACACGTCCTAAGCCCTTCTCTCCTAACCAAAGGTTTCCCTTTTATTTTCTGAAAGGTCTAAAATGTATGAAATTCAGGGATTTCAATAGGATGCAGAAGGGCCATTTCCCCCCCAGCTTCTGGATACGTTGAGATTACTTTGACATTTGACAGGTGTGGCCCCAGTGGGCCCCAAGGGGTGAAGAGAGCCGCTTTGCTCTACAAGCCCTGTATTTCAGGCCACTGCAGGAGAGAGACCTTTTTGGAAGTGAGATTTTTTTTGGGATCCCCTCTCCCTTCCTATTATTCAAAGACACACAGACACACACACACAACAACAACAACAACAACCTTCTGCCTACCAACAGCCAATGGGGCTGAGTGAGCCGATTGAATTCAGCACCAGCATTGGAGCATTTGATCTTCGAGAGCCCTGCCATTCTGGAAAAAAAGACGTCTTCATGTTCAGATCCTTGTTGATGCTGCTTTTATTTTGGGAGGTGGGTTTTAGGTTGATTAAAGCTTGCTTTTCTCCAATTTTTCACAACCTCAGCAAATGCAGCCGGCAGAAATTTGCGCGCAGCTGCTTGGAGAGTCTTCACAGATCCCAGTTAATTGTAGCCCTTCAAGGCAGCTTGATTTGCATAATTAACGATGCATTTGAGCTCAAGGCAACAAAAGATAAAGATTTCTTGTCAGCTCAGGGGGGTGTTAACAAAGGTCACCAATGGAGGAATCAAGTCGTGCATCTGTAACTTACTTGTCAGTAGGGAAAATAACGAAGAGCAGCAGCTCAGGAAGTTCAGTAATAGCTGCACCTGCTTCCATTGCAATTCAGTTCCATCCCTGTGGAAGCCATACATTGGTTGGGGGGTGGGGTGATGACAGGCCGGACCTTGTAATCCATGGAATCAGCAGCTCTGAAATATCTCCTGGCCCACGTGAGACGTGGGAAGAAGAATAGAATAGAGTAGAATATTCTTTTATTGGCCAGGTGTGATTGGACACACAAGGAATTTGTCTTGGTGCAAATGCTCTCAGTATACATAAAATAAAAGATCCATTCATCAAGAGTCAAGAATCATCAGGCACAACATTTAATAATAGTGAAAGGGTTCAATAAGAATAGAATAGAATAGAATAGAATAGAATTGAATTGAATTGAATTGAATTGAATTGAATTGAATTGAATTCTTTATTGGCCAAGTGTGGTTGGACACACAAGGAATTTGTCTTGGTGCAAATGCTCTCAGTATACATAAAAAAGAAAAGATACATTCATCAAGAGTCAAGAATCATCAGGGACAACATTTAATAATAGTGAAAGGGTTCAATTAGGATAGAATAGAATAGAATAGAATAGAATAGAATAGAATAGAATAGAATAGAATAGAATTCTTTATTGGCCAAGTGTGATTGGACACACAAGGAATTTGTCTTGGGGCAAATGCTCTCAGTATACATAAAATAAAAGATCCATTCATCAAGAGTCAAGAATCATCAGGGACAACATTTAATAATAGTGAAAGGGTTCAATAAGAATAGAATAGAATAGAATGGAATGGAATGGAATGGAATGGAATAGAATAGAATAGAATAGA